AAAATCTTTAAAAAAAAAAAAAACAGGCCATGGACAGATTTGGCGCATGGGCCATAGTTTGCTGATCCCTATTCCATATCACGATAACCATCTAGACCATTTGGGCATATCCTTTTATCAAAATCATAGATCTATAATATAGGCATTTCAATGTAAATAATAGTACTTCAAAATGCAAAATAATAACAATAGCAATAATAACCAAGTTAGAGATGAAATAATAATGGTAGAATGTTGGTAATTTTTTAAGCTGGATGATGGGCATATGGAGTTTGGTTATATTATTCTGCTTCTTTCATATATGTTTGCTATTTTCCATAATAAAAAGTTTTTAAAAAGAAAAGAAAGATTTCCAAGATATAGCTGAAGTAGTATTTAGAAGGAATTTTCTAGCTTTAAGTGACTATATTAGAACATAAGAAAGGTTTCCAGTTTTAAGAATTAGAAAGAGCAACAAATTAAATACATAGAAATTAGGGGTGCCTGGGTGGCTCAGTAAGTTACGTGTCTGCCTTCAGCTCAGATCATGATCCTGGGGTCCTGGGATGGAGCCCCATATGTGAGGCACCCTGCTCAGTGGGAGTCTGCCTCTCCCTCTCCTTCTGCCCCTCCCCACTGCTCATGCTTTGCTTGCTCTCTGTCTCTCTCAAATGAATAAATAAAAAAATCTTTTAAAAAACCGCAGAAAGTAGAATGAAGGAAATAGCAATATAAATCAATGAAATAGAAAGTACACATACACTAGAGAAAAATCAGCAAAACCAAAAATTGATCTTTGGGAAAGATTTTAAAAATCAATAGTCCTCTAGCAAAACTGATCAAGAGGGAGAAAACAGAAATTATCAATATCAAGAATGAAAAGGGGGCATCACAATAGATCCCAAGGCTACTTAGAAGATTGCATGAGCATATTAGGTACATCTTTGTGCCAGTCAGTTTCACAGCATATATGAAATGGACAATTTTCTTTTAAGCCATAACTTACCAGAAGTGGTACAAAAGGAAATAAAAGGTTTGAATAGTCCACTATCTCTTCCAGAAATTGAACCTATAATTTAAAATCATCATACAAAAAAAGAGTAATAGGAATCTATTTAAAGAAATTTAAGTAGAAAACTGACAAGATCAGATTCTATTTTGAAAAAGACCACTTTGCAAAATGGAGAAAAGATTTGAGAGTGATAAAAGTAGATGTGGAGAGAGTAGTTAAAAGACAATTACCAGTGGTTGCCAGGGATTAGGGAGAGGGAGGTATGAATAAGTGGAGCACAGAGGATTTTTAGGGCATTGAAACTATTCTGCATGTTACTATTATGGTAGATACGTGTCATTATACGTTTGTCAAAGCCCACAGAAAATACAACACCAAGAGTGAGCCCTAATGTAAACTATGGACTTCGGGTGATCATGATGTATCAAGGTGTCCATCAGTTATGACAAATCAGGATGTTGATAGTGGGGGAGGCCATGTGTGCAGTTTGGGCAGCGGGCATTTGGGAACTCTGTACTGCCTATTCAATTTTGTTGTGAGCCTAAAATGGCTTTTTAGAAAATTACTCATCTTTATAAAAAAAAAAAGATAATTGCATTAGCTCTAGTGGAAGTTGATGGTGGTTTGGAGCAGGATGGTAATAGTTAAAAATAGAGGAAAAGAACATTGGAGGTTGAAGGAGCATGGAAAAATCTCTGAAGTATGAGTTGTAGAAAGCAAACTAACAAAGTATAATGGACTTAAAAGACAGTGGTAAAGAACATTTTAAGAAGAAAACCATGAATTTATAGTAAAAACAATATACCTTATTGCATGACTTTCTGCCACAATACTTAGCTATTCGAGTGTGGGCACAGAGAAAGTCGAGAGTTAAGATTGTCCAAAATCTGAATTTTGAAGATATGTTTGACCAGAAAGTGAGAAATAAGAATGTGTTCAAATGATGGCTTATGGAATCTAAAATTAACACAAAAGAAGACAAAAGAAGAGTTCATGGGTTGGAAGAAAGCAGAGATCAGTAGGCAGGAAGACCTGATGTAAAATACAGGCACAGGTGAAACAAAAGGAGGATACAGTCAGAGTATGATGTCTGAATCTATGATTTCGGAGGCAAAGCATTTTCAGTAGCAATTAGAGATGATGACAGAGCCCAGGGTATAATAACAGTAGTGGGTGGCCAAAGTAGAATGGAAAAAAAAGATGATTAGAGATTACATGGCAAAAAACAAAGTAACCGAGGTATTAGGTGGCACAGGAAATATGCCAGACAGTTGTAGATGGTGGTGAAGAGCATGAGCCTGGGAGATACAGCCTGATTTTCCTACATACACTTTTGCAGAAATTAAGGCCCTAAAGGGATGTTGAAAGTTATCAGTCCTTTGGCCTTCTGACTCCTTCTGTTTGCCTTTCAACAACATCCATCTCACTATGCAGGGCTCCTTTCTATAGCTGGCTCACCAAGATCTGCTTTCCAGTCTGGCTCCTAGTATCCAGTCCCAACATTTTAACATCATGAAGGCACATAAGTGGTCAAGGCAGTGTTGGACACACAGTGATGGCCCAGTGAGTTCTATCTCCTGCTTTATAAAAGTACTAGAAAGGAATTGGGGCCTTTCACATGATAAATTCTGGAAAACTCTGGCCTTGTCCCTAGAGCTGAGTTGCTATCTGCACCTGACATGGCCACATGAGTCAGTAAGAAGACATGTAAAAAGATGTTATGAGAATAATGGGAGCCAATTTTCTCACTGTTTAAGAATGGAGTCACAGTATGGAAAGGGGAAAGGACAAAATTAACTGTGGCATTCAGTTATAATTAGAAACATTACTGTAAATTCATGGTTTTAGATAGACGATAGATAGATTTGAATAAAATTTAAATTGGTACATGCACATTGATATAAATAAATGAATAAATAAATAAATAAATAAATAGTAGAAAAGGTAAGGCTCTTTCTAACAACACCAACTGATAAACACAGAAGGAATACTGGAGTTAGAAAATCAATGGGTACCACTAAAACCAATATAAGACATTATGTGTTAATTAATTGAATTAAAATTTTTAAAATGTTTAAAAAGGAGAGGAAAAAAAAGAAAATCAATGGGTCCTAAAACTAGTGAGCAAAAGTTTGATGAAAAACAAGATATTTACACAAACTTAAAGTATCAGTTTACAGATTATGTGCTAATTACAATGGGAAAAAGACAGCAACTATACTGGAGAGATTTAGTAGATTTTGAAACCACCTAAACCAAGTAATCAAAATTAACATTACAATGTGACAATTGATATTGTATGCCTCCTGATAAAAAGTACTGAAAAGCATAACATCACTTTTGTAGTATTCTGGCTGGAGATGCATAAACTAAATCTAACCACGAGGAACATGGGATAAACCCAAATTGAGATACTATCTACCAAATCACTGATCTGAAATCTTCCAAAAATATCCAGGTGAAGAAAAAACAAAGAAAGGCTGAGAAACTGTTCCAAATGAAAGGCACTAGGGAGACATGACAACTAACTATAATACGTGATCCTGGATTGGAAACTGGCCTGGGGAAAATTAGCTATCATTTATTTTGACCATTGATAAAATTAAAATATGGACAATAGTTATATATTATTATATCAATGTTCAATTTTCCAATTTTGATAATTACACCAGAGTTACATACAAGAATGCCTTTTAAAGGAAATACAAACTGATGTATTTAGAAGTTAAAAGGTGGGATGTCTACACCTTACTTTGAAATGGTTCAGAAAAAATAATATACATGAGCTTACAGAGAATGAAAAGTAGGCAAAATGTGAACAATTGCTTAATCTGGGTAGGGTATACAGGAATTCCTTGAATTATTCTTGCAGCACTTCTATAAGTTTGAGACCATATCAAAATCAAAAATTATCCAAAAGTCATGGACACATTCTATCTTGGGTCCATACCTATCTTATTTCTCCTAAGTTTGACCCTGTTAGGCACCCGACTTTGAAGTTAGCTCTCTGTTTAGCATCCTGGATCATCACAAACCAGTGTGGGATTGCCTATTCTAGCTCTGACGTTGGCCGCCCTTCTGATTTCATCTCTCATTATTTTAGCATCAGCGCCAAGCATCGAAACCACACCTAAGAGAAATACCAAATCACAGCATCTCATCTGATCCCTGGGATACACCCTGTCCACGGTAAGCCACATATCTCCCATTTCCTCCTCTCCTTTGTTTTCTCACTTGTACAGTGTTTGGGACGTAGAAGGTGTCTGATTCATACCTGTTGGATTAATTTGAACTTGCCTGCTTCATAGATGTGAAGAAATCCATTATTACTTTCTAAAACGCCCACTCTTCTGAGTCTGAAGGAACCACAGACAGTCTCTGTGAATCTTTTATAGACTCAAAGCTCAAGAAGGAGCCAAGATTTTAAACAATTTGGGTGGAATCCTCCTCATCCCTGCCTTATCTACACACTGCTCCCTTAAACAAACCACCCAAGGACTCTAAACAAAATCGGTGGGACTTGGGAAATCACCATTTTTCTTATGCAAGTCATAATTACAAGATGACTTTTCTAGGCCTGGCAACTGGAGATTCTGAATGATTATGGGATATGTATTTAATAATAATCATAATAGCAACCATTTTACAAAGAAGTTATACGTCAGGAAATGCGCAAGATGCTATACGTGTATTATCTCTTTTAATCCTCATGCCAACCCTGGAAGTAGACATTAATATACTTCCTTTACAAATAAGGAAAGTAAGACTCAGGGGTTTAGGTGACTTGCCTAAGTTAAAATAGCTCTTAAGTGGGTAGAGCTAGGAATGGAATTCATGTCTCTTTGACTTCAGAGTCTATACTTCTGCCATAGCATTACATGGTCATATCAAGACAGTCACAGTATTCCCTACACTTACTTGTTAAGGGTCTTCCTAACAGCTGGTATTAGTTACTTTGGAGAAAGGATTGGTTTTAGTGGGAATGCACATAAACAAGGATTTCTCATACCATTTCAATCATATCACTTGCACTGGATTTGATGGATTTAAGGTCTCCAAAACCTCCAAAGGGGAACTTTTTCAGCCACACCCAATCACCCTAGAAAGAAAAGGCAGAGAAGAGTGATGAGACTTAGTTGCCAACAGCTCTAGAGCAATGTCCCTTCCATATGAAGGGTTTATAATCAGACCATCAACTCAAACAGGCTTTGTTCTTCTTCCATCACACTCCACCACATGGACACACTGTATCTGAGCTAAAAATGAGGTCATGCAGGGACACCAGGGTGGCTCAGTCGGCTGAACATCAGACTCCTAATTTCGCCTCAGGTTATGAACTCAGGGTGGTGAGATCAAGCCCAGCGTCAGGCTCCATGCTCCTCGGGGAGTCTGCTTGAGTTTCTTTCTCCCTCACCCTCTGACCCTCCCCCCCAATCACTCTCTCTCTCTGTCCTAGTAAATAGATAGTTGGTAGATAGATAGATAGATAGATGATAGATAAATCAAATCTTTAAAAAGGAGGTCATGCAGAGAAGTGAAAGGTAAAAATTCCAGTTAACTAAAGACAGGGAAACCACAGCAGGTAGGCAGACTTCAGAAAAGGAAAGTTATCACTCTCTGCAATGACGCCTTTCACTAACTGTAGAAAGTGCTAGGTCATTTCACTTATTCATAGCTAAGTGATGTAGTACTGGGTTCGCCATGATTAATGATGATGGTTGGTGGTTGCAATTCTTACTGCCTTCAGGCATCCTTGGTGGGAGATGTAATGCAGCAAATGTTTTCTGCATTTACCTTGCTCCATTTTTCTCCTGTGGGACAGGCAATTTTGGGGGCCTCTTATGCTTCAATCATAAACCAGTTGGCTTTAGTGTAGATTAAACATTTCTTATTTGGATGCACAAATGTACTACCTTAGTAATATGAGTCACCTAGACCCTTTCAGAAGTCTATTTCTGACTTTTTAAGTACAAAGCCGCTATTTCTAAGGCTGCTGTCAAGTCAAAAACAATTATTTTATTGTCTTTACTTTAACATCAGCACCTGATTGATAATTTTCTTCTCTGTTCATAGCCTCAAGGACTAATCAGTCATCAAGCCCTATTTCGTTTCTGTCCAACCCAAATTTTTTTAGAAAAGCAATACAAATATGGATTCCTTTTTCTCCCTGATAATAATAATAATGCCTTGCATTTGCACAGCGCTCTTTACCCTTCAAAGTGCTTTCACATCTATTACCTATAGCCTGGAGATTCCATTTCAGGCTGCACCAATTTGTCGGCAAGGAGAGATAATAAAGCAGAGAGCTCTGTGCAGTCAAATTCCAGAAAGAGAGTGTAAGCATTCTCTTAAGGTATATATCCAGCTGTGGCACTGCATCTGGAGACCTGCCAGAGGCAAAGGCTAATAACGGGAGCTGCGGGCATCTGAGTTCCACGCCCACACTCTGGGTTAGAGGGCATCTTCGAGCCGAGGAGCTTGAAACCCTTTAACTAGGGAATGGCTCTTGGAGGTCTTTGGCAGCTGAACAGAACTGTGCCAGCCAGGCTCAGTGCCCACAGAGTCCAGCAAGATTAGTCCAGGATCCGCACCTGCCTGCAGCAAAATGGCCAAGCATGAAAGGCAGCCTTCCTGGTCTCTTGCTGGGAAATTCTCTGAGCCTGGTCCCAGGCCAGCTGCATCACGGTCACCTGGGAACTGGTTAGAAAGGCTGAGTCTCAGGCTCCACCCCACACTTAACTTCCTTAATCATAGGAGTCAAGAGTGCCAGACCTGAGCTCAAGCTCGAAGGCTTAGCCTTCAGGGGACTTTACCCTCTACAGGGATCAAAGCCAAGGTTTCAGCCAAAAGACAAAAATTCTAACTGGGAATTCACAAACCCAGCAAACATGCGGGATATAGTGGTGGGCAATAAAGCCTTTCCAACACCTTTGCAATCATTTTCCATGGCCCCTGGTTACTACTAGCTGTTAAGGCACCTTTGTGCTAATTAGAAAGGGTGTTTTCCCACAAGGAACAATGAATAAACAAATCAACATGTGAAAATATAATTTTACAGCTGGTGGCAGCTGGGCGATGTTGGGCGGCAGCCCTGGTTGAAAACATACATGCATGTGCCACGCCCTCATTTACTCTTACATCCTCCAGATACCAGGGAACACATTCTACTGGCAGCATGGCTGGTCTGTATACCACCAACCCCTACCTGCCAGGTGGAGCCTCTTTGTCAGGTTTGGAGTCAGGCTGTAGAAGTGGAGGAGAGAAGCTGAAATTGGACCTCCAAGAATATTAGGCAGAAGAAAGGAGTAACCTCAAAAAACTCCTGGGGAATAGTCAAGGTAGCATATAATCAGGTGCACATATGTTTTATTTTACCAGTGGCTATGTACGTGCATAGTCAAGTGTACACATATAAATGTAGCTATGAGAACTAACCCCCACTGCCTTGTTTCTGAGCTAGGCTGGAGGTCAGAACCTCTCTGCCCAACCCTTCACCACTCTAAGTTAGTACATGTCTATAATGTGAATAGTACCCTCTTAAATATGCGTGCCCTTATGCAGTGCACAACCTGAACATCAGGACTGGCAACCCTAACTCCCTAACTCTACCTCTAACCAGTACCTAATACTGTCTTCCTGGAGTCAGCTTTATTGTAGAGAGGGGTTAGCCTCTCTCTGGCTTATTACCTTTTAGAGATCATTAAGCCGAGCCTTTTTCCCCCCAGCCAAATCATCAAATTTGAGAGCTGGAAAGGGTCTTGGGTATCCCTGTTCTAATCCCTTCATATTTTGGTAAAGAAACTGAAGTCTAAAGAGATGAAGTGACTTGCCCAAGGTCAGAAGGCTAGGTAGTAACAGAACCAAGGTCTTCCCCTTTCCACTTTCTACTTTATTGCTCTTTTCTCTCATGGCTTTCTTTGGTTTGGGGGATTTGTGTGTATTTATTTTAAGATTGAAATAGTTTTCACAAACTTTATAAGCAGATTTTTATTGAGTCTGTGTGTGTTCTACTTCATGAATAATGAGGAAAAGGAAGGAAACAGGCAGGTTTTATCTTCACCACACATGCATTATTTGTTTTGTTTTTTCTTTTAAGAGAGAGAATGATAAAATACTTCATTCATCATTCAGTTTTTAATTAAGAGGAAGAAACATCCAACTCTAGCCACTAAAGTTTTTAGAAGTAATTTAAAGTCCATCAGTTTTGCACTAAGGCCATGGAGCATTGACTAAGAGTCAAGAGAACTAGGTCCTGGATCTGTCTGTGCCTCAAATTCAGCGGTGGCCTCAGAGCAACCACTTCGTTGGTCTGAGCCCCAGTTTTCTAACGGACAGAGCTAGACAATTCTGTGATGAGAGAAGTGGTTGGTGGAAAGGAGACGGTGGGGGCGTGTGGAGACAGAGCTCTGGGAGATATAGAAGAAGGTGGGAAAATAGAAGAAAAAAGGCTCTGGGAAGGGAAGATGATGGGGAGGCTGTGCGGGGAAAGGGGTGAGAGAAAGGAGACAAAGAGGAAAACATAGGGAGAGTTTGAGAGGCAGAAGGAGTCAGAGATTAAAAGGGACGGTAAGTTCAGTGGGTTCTCGCTGAGCCTATCAGGGTTGCATTCATGCCCACCTCACCCCTCTCCCCTAGACTGTGGCTATCAGAGCAGACAGTGCCATGTTCCCACCATATCTGGGGAGTTTTCTCTTCCCAGCGGTCTGCTCACCTAGCTTTCCTCTCCTCTCTCGAAGAGGATCTATGAGAGAAGGGTGGATTTTCTGGTCCAGTGGCTAAGGTAGGGACGCATCTCTGTGTACAATCAAAGTGGGAATCACTGATAGAAATACCTGTCCTTTGGGGAAGCCTGTCCTTTGTTATTAGTCATCTGCTCCTCCAGGCCCATTAGCTGGAACTTGCAGATCTTCCAGTGACAATTCTTATGAAAAGCTGATTTATTTCACACAGAATCTAGATAACGAATCTTCTTTAAAACATTCCCAACAGAGGACCGTTTCAGAAAGCACATTGAACCTCTTTGTTTGATCTGTTGGTTCAATTAACTCACTCCTTCCTACAGTCCTCTTCAGCCCTAGCCAGGCAGTTTTCCTCTTCTGTGGTTTCCTTCACACCCTGCCATCAGCCTAATCTTGACTTCATGGTGTGGTATTATTCTCACTAACACCCTTCTTTTGTGCAGATAAAGGCTCCCTTTGGCCTCAGTTGAGAAATCCTCATGCTCTGACTGAGCAATAGTCATTATGGGAACTAACTCAACTCTCTGCCTCCTTCCAAGAGGTGGAAATATCTGACAGATTCTTATAGGCCAGTTATGTACAGATGTTTACTTTTTCCCTTTCTCAATTCTACACTATAACCTTCTGTCTCCACCAAACAAAACATACCACAACTCGATACATAAATTCTTCCACAGCATCAGAGAGTCATGTAGCATATCTGAGTCAGAAGAGGCCTTTGAGCTCTCTTAATTCATCCATCCCCAGCCCTGGCTACACACATAAGGAATCTTGAAAAAAATTCCAATGCCTCAGCCCACCCCATACCGACCTAATCATAGTTACTAGTGGCAGAGGCTAGGCACAGGTATGTTTTTCAGGTTTCCATGGAGATTCCAATGAGTATCCATGATTAAAAATTTGGTTCAACCCCTCATTTTACAGTTAAAAAACCAAGAGACCACCCTAGATTACTGAAATTTATTTCAGAATCTTAGCAGTGTCCGTATACTCATAAAACCATCAGCCCACTGCATTTGACATTTAAAAGCTTTGTGATTATCTTGGTTTTGGTCTTTGAGAGAGTAGAGCTGTCAATTCCCCAAAACCACAAGTTTACACTTGAAGCAAATCTCCTCTTTGGGTCAATGAGCTTCAAGGCAAGATCCGGAGGTTTCCTGCTTCAAATTTTAAGTCAGAGCCCTCAGGTACACTGACCAAATATATACCATGCCAATCTTGGTGTTTTAGGCATCTGGCAATTATTTGGCCAATGGAGGAGAGCACTCACTCGGAAAATTCAATATGTTGGGCAGTCAAAAAACTCATTCTGTCCTGTTTTGGACTTTCTTTGTAGTTACTATTGATGTTGAAAGTGTTTGCTGCTTTTTGGAGTATCTTCAAACAAAACAAGGAAAGCACACTGGGAAGGCATCACTTAGGAGGGACTAGTTTCCCTCTTACCCCCTGCTTAACTCTTTCCTGCTGCGAAGAAACAGTTCATCTCTCCAGCTGTTGCAAGATTTGTTCTGGTTGCCAAATTCCAGTATCTAAGAACAAGGGGCCACGAGTGGCCTCTTAAACTTGAAAGACAGAAACTTAAGTGAAATTTAAAAAAAAAAAAATTTCCATTTTACACAGCAGAAGGTCACCTGTTACTCCAATAGAGAGCACAGGCTGAGGAAAAAAAGAAATAATTTTTAAAAGATTTCAATAATATCAGAGGGTAACAGGTACAGGAAGAACAACTAGAATTTGAAGGGAAGGGTTTGCCCAAAACTTTACACAAACATATTTCTAGACATTCCATCACAAACAGGTGACTCAGGAAGTCAGGAAGTCATTTCTTCTATTATTATACGCTATCTTCTAGAATGAATGACATGATAAACTGCATGGATCTGCCAACTTTTTTTTAAGGATTTTAATTGTTTCTTAAATTATTTATGACAGAGAGAGATAGTGAGAGAGGGAACACAAGCAAGGGGGAGCTGGAGAGGAAGAAGCAGGCTCCCCACTGAGCAGGGAGCCTGATATGGGGCTCGATCCCAGGACCCTGGGATCACGACCCAAGCCAAAGGCAGATGCTTAACTGACTGAGCCACCCAGGCACCCCCTGACTATTTTTTCACATGCACAATAAATAGATGGATTTGAAAGATTAATGAAATTATAAATAAGTAGATCAGTTGCTGAGGAAAATCATTGTCCAAAAGGTTAGGAAAACAAGTCCATGAGTGGATAGCAAACAAAAAACTGGAAAGATTTTCCAAAAGTCTCAATATTTTTACCCAAAGACTAAGTCCTAAATCACTGTCTCATTTTAAAAACCAAGATGTCAGCAGATAAGATAGCTGTTGGATAGCCTACCTCGTAAATGGATATGTTGGAGTTTTCATAGGTAGCTGGAGTTAGACTCCCTGAGAAAAAGGGGAACCTTGGAAACCTTCCACTTTGGACTTCTGAGATGATCTGGAAGCTTACACTGGTACAACTTCCTCTCTGTGAAAGGATTAGGGAAAAAAGGTTATAAACAAAACTCTCATGATTTAGGACAAAGCAATGAACTGTGGTATAGATACTGCGCTCATCTGGCTTTCCTTTTTCTTTTTTTTTTCCTCAGATAGTAACTATATGAGTTGAACTTTGTAAACATGAGATTAATTTGCCCATCCCCCAGCACAACTTTTTTTAGGCTAGGTTTGTTATCATGCTTCACCTCTGTATATCATGAAAGAAAGGTAAATGTTCGCAGGTACCTCCATCTCCTAGAAAGGATTTGATCTCTGATTTGGGGGACGCTTGGGTGGCTCAGTCAGTGAAGCATCTGCCTTTGGCTCAGGTCATGACTCCAGGGTCCTGGCATCAAGTGAGGAGTCTGCTTCTCCCTCTCCTTCTGCCCCACACTTCCCCCTCTCTCACAGACTCTCTTTCTCTCTCAAATGAATAAATTAAAAAATGTTTAAAAAAGGAATCAGAAATTTGGGGGGGCAGAGAAGAACACCAGTCATAATTTAATCTGGGATCCTCACTCTATAGACAAAAATAAGAACACAAGCATCTAACATTTTGGAAAAAATCAACAGCAGAACTAGCACATAATCCCACCCTTCTGGCTCTCACGCCTGGCTCCTTTTGTTATACCATCTTGAATGGCAGCCTTCGTTGTGCAGACAAGATTAATGGCAGAAGGTATCCCAGAAAGCAATAAGAGAGTAGAGAGTGAGTAGATCGTCTGCCCATGATTTATGAGTCTGATGCTTAAACAGACCAAGTTCCTTATTCCTTGATTTGCTAACTTGTACACATAAGTCTGGTAAAAGAGGACCAGGAAATGCACCGTTGAACGACAAGAGGAAGACTTATCTGTAATCTGTAGTAACTTTTAAAATCGAACAGCTTTATCTTCAACTAAACCAGCAGACTTATTTCATAAGAAAAAAATCATAAATCAACATGTTCCTCATATTCTTCTCCATGTCTCCAAATGTGCCTTTCTTGAAATTACAGTAATTCAGAGCTATTATTGTGTAGGCTAGCCCCCACACTCCTCAACTCTAACACCCTCATTTTACAACAAGGAAATATAGACCTAGTGAGGGCTATAGGCACTGGAAGAGGAACATGGATGTTACCATTCCCAGTCTTGTGTTTTTTCGAATGCACCACGCTCTGTTTCACTCTTGCTTGCCAATAAAAATGAATCTTAAGTACTTTCACATACTCTGCTCTTAATGGTCTTTGATAAACTGAAGATAACTAGTCGATTTAGCCCTGAGTTAAGTTCATTCTATCAAGACAAGACTATCACGAAGTTCCAAGGCACTAGTAAACTATACCCAGCTCTTAATGTGTTGAAATCCCAACAGCTCGCAATTCAGACAAGATGTAAAACTTGACTCTTCACATAACCCTTGCATCAACCTGAACTCTCCTCAACAGAGCGAGGCCAGGGAAGAATCTACTTCTCTTTCATTCTTTATTTTCATATCTCAGCAGGAGCACCTAGATCTGTATATTGAGACATAGACCCCTGCGTGAAGGGGCACAGGAGAAAGCAAGAGAATCTGCCAAAATCCACATACATTTGGGCTTCAGCTTTACTTTCTTCTAAAAACTTCCTTTCCTGACCTGACTTCTACTGACCTGCCAATTTTTCTGGACTGGATTAATTTTATATTCACCAAGAGTTTATACTTTCAGACATTCCATTTGGATGGAATTCTTGGCTTGGCTTCTTGACTGATTAGACACAGCCAGCTGCAAGTTTGTGACCACACAGCGATTTAGGAAAATGTACACTTCCCCTACCTTTTCCTATCAGAAACTGATACAAACCAAATGCCAAAAAGGATCTGGAGTTCAAGAACTATGTTCTAGAATAATGCCATCCTTTTCCACCAGGGCCAAAATAGTAAAAAAAAATAAAATAAAATAAACATTCCCTATAAGGCTATCAGTCCCTGTTGCTCTTCATTTTTCTCACTTAATGCAGTGAAAAGTGATTATTGGTTGTGTTTTTTTTTCTCTCTCACTACGTCAAAATGTATGCACAAGTGAATGAAAGGATCTATCATCATGAGCAAGATTTTAAAAACTTGGGTACTTTGTTCATCTGAAAGTAGCCCTATTCTGTTATCTTTGGTGATTTCTTGCAATGCTGTACGAAACCCAAACATGTTTTGTGTCTCGGTAGGAAAGAGAGAAGGGCAGGGGGAGCTTTTCCACACTTCACTGGATTATTGCAAAGCCTCTGCAAAGAGAGAGTTAATTCAGCCCGAAATTGATCTGTGTTTGTTGCTTTGACACTTGAGAGCCAAAACTTCGAGGCAATGGACATGAACTGAATACCATCCCAGAAGTGGGATTTTTAAAAACAGGTTTATTGCTCTTGACCACTTTAGTAAACATTGCTGTGTTTAGAAAGATGACTTCTAATCACCTGCTTTTACTACAGATTACCCATTTCTGGATAAAATATCTTGTCATAGAAGTAACTACTTGTTTTCTCAGTATCAGGTTATCTATCAGAGCTTGCACTCCAGTATCTGCCTCTTCTGATGAAGGTGAGAAATTTCATACGAGGCATATGGGGTATGACAAATCCAGACAAATTCTACCACCCTGAGTGAGGTCCAGGGTCTTCTGGTGGCTTCAAAAATAGAGACTAACATCAGTACATCTTTACAGCATGAGAGTGGAATGTAGCTTTCAGCCACAATGATAATTTTGGCATTTAGCAGTACATTTCCAGGAACATAATATCAACCTTACAAAAAAAAATTAGATGACTAGAACAAATCAGAGTTAGGGTTGTAACTGAGAATTAAGCTAAACAGCTGAACATTTCATCTGATTCCAACTGCACAGAGTATTGCCATGTAATCCCATCATCACCCAGCCAACTAGTTCAAGTATACCTTTCTCCGCCACGTTTACGCAAATGATCAGTTTGGTCACAGAGATCCTGAATTCTCAGACCTGGTATACTGGTTTAGTAAAAGTAAATGTCACGTGGGGACAAATAGGATGTGTTTGCATTCTCTCCTTACATCCTGCTACCACTATACTAGAATTTGGACAAGCAAATGTCTTCATTTTGGCCACATAGACTGGGCACAAAGAGACAACCTCTCCCGTTACTACTACAGTTGACAAAACTCTTCCTCATGCTTTCTTTTTTTCCAAGCTTTTGTTTATGCTGTTTTCTCTGCCTACAGGGGTCAGGAAGGTAAATACAAATTGGTCACATAGACTGAATGTAAGATAGTAGAGAGTGATGGCAAGTGGGTCAAAATGCAGAGAGCATGCTTCTTCCGAAAAGGGCAACTACTACTGAGTCCGGAACAATTGCCATGATAATTCCCAAGGCTGACAGATCTTCCAGCCTTTATAAAACACCCAGAGGAGAGTGTGGGTGGCTCAGTCAGTTAAGCATCTGCCTTTGGCCCTGCTTCTCCCTCTGCCTGCTACTCTCCCTGCTTGTACTCTCTCTCTGTGTCAAATAAATTTTTAAAATCATTTAAAAAAAATAAGAAAATTAAAAAATTAAAATACCCAGAAATCCAGGTCTTTATGTGCAAACTCCCAATTTCAAAGTTCTGGCCACTATTTTTTATAACTATAAGGGTCAAACAAAAGTGGTTACCAGTTTGTGACCTGTGACCTAGACAAATCCTATCTGTCCTTATTTAAGACCCAGCTTTAGTGCTGAGTCTCTTAAAAAAAAAAACCCTTCTTCCACTGATACATCTCCTCTGACGTTCACCATATTTCTAGTGTCTTTTGTGCAATATGGCAGCTATCAGCTCCCTTGTGTGGTATAATTTGCATCTCTGACTTAGCTATAATTTCCTCACAAAGCCTAGTCCAGGGCCAGAACAGGCATTCAGTGAAGAGCGCCAGTTGTTACACAATAACCATCAGAACAGAACCGCGGGCCACCCCCCAGGGACATTCAACTGATTTTCACTCATTGATTCACTTACCAAACTTTGGCAAGCACCTATTACACTATCAGCACAAGGTTGGGAGCTATGGGCTAACATTAAAAGAAAATGGATCTCTGCCCTTGAGGAATGAGCACTCGAACGTGGAGTTCAGATATACTGAAGAAGGGCTATATGAAGTCAAAGCTACATTGTTGCTCAAAGTGCACTGCGTGGCCTTCACAAAACTGTTGTAAGACAGCACCTTCCACTAGAACTGTAACCTGAGTCACATATGTATTTTTAATCTTTCTAATAGTCACGTTAAAAAAAAAACATAAGAAGCAGGTAAGAATAATCTTAATATGTTTTATTCAGAGGGAAGGAGCAAGATGGCAGAGAAGGCGACCCTGTTTCAACTGGTCCCCTGAATTGAGCTAAATATCTACCAGAATACTCTGAACACCCATGAAATCAGCCTGAGATGTAAGATTATACACTTCTGGATCTCTACAGGGGCAGGAGATCATTCATGGAGAGGTGTACCTTGCCTGAATCACGGTTGATATACTCAGCTCTACATCCCCTCAACCACTTCTCACCAAAATGACTAGGAGGAGGAACACCCAACAGAGGAAAAATTCAGGGACTGTGCCCTCTGCCACAGAACTATTGGATATGGACATAAACAGTATGTTGGAAAGGGAATTCAGGGTAACAATTATCCAGGCAATGGCTAGGTTGGAAAAGACCATTAGTGGCAACATAGAATCTCTAAGGGCAGAAGTGAGAGCTGATCTGGCAGAAGATATGCTTTATTTGACCCACAACATCCAAAGTATCATCATTTTGACATGTAATTAATCTTTTTAATTTAATGAGATATTTTACATGTTTTTGTACTAAACCTTCTAAATCCAGGGTATATTTTACGTTTAGAGCACATCTCAATTTAGACTCACCATGTGCTTTTTTTCAAAGATCGACCGATTGATGTGAGTGAGATACTGAGAGAGAGAGACTGAGAGAGCATGAGTTGGGGGAGAGAGAGAACCTCAGGCAGACTCCACACAGAGCGCAGTGCCTGACACGGGGCTCAGCCTCACCACCCTGAGATCAACACCTGAGGCGACATCAAGAGACAGACCCTTAAACGACTGAGCCACCCAGGTGCCCCCAGACTCGGCCCATGTTAAGTGCTCCATAGTCACCTGTGGCTTGTGAATACCATATTGGACAGTGGAGCAAGGGAGGGGGTTGCTCCTTACCTTACTGCCAAAGTGGGGATTGATAAACGTCACATCCTTCAAAGTCAGTAGAATTCTATAGGGTCCTTTAATCAACTGGATTTTATTTATACGACACCTGAAACAAGTATAAAATCAGAGGGTCACAGGGAGCTGGGTATTTTGTGAACCCAGGATAAATTTGCCCTGTGATGGAAGTTTTAAAATATACAAGATAATGGGGAGACTAACTACACATAAATCTTTACCCTCATACTCACAGCAAAGAGAAACAACAACCCTGATTCTCACCACTCACAAAATTACAAAGACCAAAAGAGAAAAATGAAGATGCTATTGAAGAGACATCAAAAGGGAAGGATGAGGCTGCTGCATGGGGACAGTAAGTCAGACTAATAAAATGGCGATCCCCCCACCCCAAAATGGTGATCCCACATCAAGAGCACATTCAAAACAACACCTTGCAATACTCATAAAGAACTCACCACCCTTTCTCATATGCCACAGTACATATTCTAATAATACCCAGGCCAAGAAGCATTCATCTCCATTTTATAGGCACAAAAACACATTCAAGAAACAAAACAAAATTAAGCAAATTGTGCAATTCCCTAGCCTGAGGCAGAGCTGGGACTCCAGTCCTCGGTCCCTGGCTGCGGGCCCAGATTTCTGTCCACAAGACCACTTGTCTTGTGAAGTAGCATCTATGCGTTGCCAAAGCAACAGGTTGAAAAGTGGAAAAATTCAATCAGTTGGTTGCTTTGTCTACATGATTCCAAACAAGTAGGCTGACTGGGTTTTTTTTTTTTTTCTTTCACTGAATTGGTCTCTTGTCTGTGCATTACATAGACACAATTTAAACCTGATTCTCTTCAAACATGCCCATTAATTTGCAGCAAATGTAATTATTTCCTATAAATCAATTACTAGACACATAGGAGTTTTTGATGTCTACCCACACTGCCAGGTAGGTCATCTCAGTTGAGCTGACCTGGCAACTTAAGGACCTGAAGGATACCTTGGATTTAGTCTGTGTGGTTGTTTTGTTCTGTTTTGTCTTGTGGATGCTGACAGCTACAGTTTGGCTTCGCTTTTTCCACAACCCCTTAATGGCCACCCTATGAAATGTATTAGAGCCTGTGCCAGAGTGTGGAAAACAACCACTGAATCAAAACGCTTTGTCAAGTTACTGTAAGCAAGTCTGCGATGTCACTGTAGCTTTAAGCACCAGTAACACTGTCTGTTTGTCTCAGTGACTCCACTGGTTTGTAAACAAACAATTAATGTGTTTCTAATTGTCTGCCCACAAGTATGACCCTTATCACTGTGGGAGCTGCTGCCCTGTGGTGAAAATTAAAAGCGCCCTGTAGTGAATTCTTGGGTAAAGCACATGAATCTTTTGGCGAAGTAAAGCTTCGCCCCCTAACTTATCTGTTTCATATGTGTGGTGATGTCTTAAAGCAGGCACACCTGTGAAAATAACCATGCTACACACTCTAGTAGAAAGACAACTGGACTCCCAATCCAGAGACCTGGGATGCAGTGCAGATTCTGTCATTAATTAGCCAGATGACCTTGGGTAAATAATTTAACATCTTCATGTTCCGTGTCCTCATCTGTCTAGCCAGATAATGGTTTGTGCGTTACCCGCTTATAGAGTTGTTTTGAAAATCAAATGAGATAATATATGTGAAAGTGCTTCAAAAAGCATGAAGCACCATGAAAGTATAAGAGCTCATTATTATCATTATCATCATTAGTTTTACAAAGCACTGAAGAGCTTTATAGAAAGGCAAGGCAATCTGGTTCAGAGTCGGGAGAAAGGAGGAGTTCAAAGAATCCTTTGTTTTGGGGTGGTTGGGTTCTTTGCACGTCTTTCTTTCTGGGAAAAAAAAAACTTAAACAATCAAAACACAGAGAGTCACTTTCCTGCAAGTAATCACCATCTATTACAGACACTCATCAGACACTCAGTTCTGATTGCAGCCGTGGTGGGCAGAGAGAAGGAGGCAGACAGCAAAGAGAGGGCATCTTTTGTGCTCTGTTAGCTGAAGTACCAAGGACCAAGTGACTCTGGGAAATGATGTGCCGCTCTCCCATCTCTGAGTTTTCGGTGACCACTTCAAGTACCAATTGTCTCAAACTCATTTTCCTCTCCAATCATGTCCATCTCCAATCATGTCCCTCTCCAGCCTTCTCGGCCCTTCAGCCCACAAACTCCAAACATCCCCCCCTTGTGATTTTATAGACTTTTCCCCCTTGCCTTCACAAGAATTGCAGATTGAGCTCACTCTAAGCCGAAAGAACCAGTCCTTTCCATGGGAAAGACCGGTGAGGCCAGTCATTGGAGGGGGGAGGGTGAGGTGGGAGGTTGACAAGTAACCTAAGCAGCTTAGTGACTCCGTTTTCAATCTTGCCACGGGATGTTTTGGCATTATGTAGCCAGAGCCCACTACTCTTCGAATCTCCCTAGAGAGGGGAGATTTCTGATTAGATGGCATTTATTTTCCCTGAGCATCTAATGATGTTAACTCAATACTCTGGTCTTAGGCGGCAACTAAACTCAATACGTTAAATTTCTGTTCTGAGCCGGAGTATGTCACAGTCGCAGAAATTAAAAAGAAGAACCACCTTTGATATAATGTTTTTGTCAAGTGTGTTTTAACAATTCACAAGATACCCACCACTCTGTATGGCTTTATCAAGTTTCTAATATAAGGAAATTGAATAAGAGTGGTTTTGGGGGGGTTTTGTTTGTTTGTTTGTTTGTTTGTTTGTTTTTTGCTGTGATGCCAACATACTAAACGCTAAGAGTACCACCTGTTAGAGTTTCGAGCTAGGATTTCACAGACTCATTATAACATCAGAACTGGAAGGGCTCTTCAATTTCACTTAATCCAATCCCTTCATTTTACAAATGAGAAAATTCTGGCTAAGAGAGGTGTAGTGCCTTGTCCAAATTTACACAGCTGTTTAGTACACTCTGGATATTTTTCTCAGAACTTGCCAAAGGAGCTCCACTCCATTCCCACCAAGTTCGTGTCATATTGTTGTGAGGACCACTCTTACAAAAAGATAACAAAGGTGTGGTTAGCAGGATGGAAAGTGTGAAGTGGGAGCGTCATGGTTGATTTCATTTTTTTACTTTCCCCAAATCATCTTAATTTGGGGAGAGGTCAACTGTTAAAATGCCAAGATTATGAAAAAGGAGCATCCTATTAAGCCATCTTCAGCCATGCCATTTATGCCCCGATCCTGAATTCATTCATCAGAGTAGTTGGTCACCTTTTATGGGATCTGAGGGAGAAAGACAAAGACATGTTGATAATGATGACGTTGATGATTAGCTAGGATAGCTTTTGTCCAAGGAAGAAGGACAGTGTGAATCTGGAGTATAATACCCACAGCAAAAGGTGTGAGTGTCAAAGTGAGGGTTCTGGGCTCCCAATAATCAGTGGGAGAATCCCATGTGCCTGGGCAGGAGGTAGGACTTTACCACTCAGAGTGCCTCCTCTGAGTCAGGTGTTATTCTAGGTGTTTTACATACTTCAGTTTATTTAATAATCCTCACTACAATCCTGGGAACTAGGACCATTATTCCCAACACCTGGATTCTTGCCAAAGTCTGACTAATTCTTGGAACTAGTTAAAATATCCCAATTTTATTTTGTCCTAGTCCATACCATTTGAGGAAAGAGGTGGGTAGTGGAGACTGCCAGTGGAAAAGGGAGCACAGATAGGGAGTATACAGACCCTAAAGTACTAGTTCTCTTATTTCACGATAATGGGGCAAGCCAGATTTACTCACAGACAACAACACCGACAACACAGCTGAGGAAGTTATTCTTGGCATCATGAAAACACTTCACTCTAAATGGTGCCAGTAGGGACAGTAAACCGCTATGGAAAACAGAAAATCAGTTGGTCATGTAATGAGGAAATTGTACTGAAACATGACTTCCTGGAAGTAAATACTAACAAAGCTATTATGGCCTTTTACGCTTATATCAAAAAAAAATGTACCATATAAAGTAAGCAAATCCATTAATAGCAGGGCTATAAGCAAAGCAAGTCAGACCATCACACAAAGACATGGTCAATGCCTATAGAGAGCAAGAGGAAGAATTGCATTACCAGAGAGAAGCTGTAAATAAAGGGCACCACGAAGCAGCTCCTCGTGCTTTCTGGTGAGTCTAAAATCAAGCCACATCTACCTAACTTAATTCCATTTTTCTACAGCACAGTATGTCTTGTTGACTTTATGGACACAGAAAGCAATTTCACTGTTCTGAAGCAAAACCACTCACCACTCTGACAATAACAAATCACATGAATTAAGGGTGACCCAGGTGTTGCTTTGGAGGAAAAAGTCCATGAATGGAAAATTTTGAGTACCTTAATTTAAGGTGGATGGCAATAGAATTTTTGAGAATAAATATGTTATCTCACCTGTGAAGGGTAAGTATTATGTCACCTTCATAAAATAAAAGACATTTTAAATTCACTAGAGTCCATAGACCTTGTGCGTTATAGATGAAAAACATAGCACTTGTCCTTCAAGTGTGAGTCTTGTTTTGATAATTAGGGTTTCGCCGAGATGTAAATTAACCTCTAGGAAACCTAAACATTTGGATGGATTACTAAGATTTCAGAAGGAAATATATGATGACGCTAACGTCAGGGTAGTAGGGTATGTCATGCTCAAGCAAATTAGAAACTGAAGTCCATTTCAAACAGATGCATTTGGTTTTAGAAGGGTGTGGTGTACACTCACACAGGAATAATATGGATCCTGCCAAAGTTCCCCTCTGGCTCTTGGAGACTTGATGGAATTTCCACTCTTCCTCAAGCTAGAGGAGTTCCATCAGTCAATCTAACTGCAAGTATTTATTGGACACCAACTGTGTTGGTTGGGGGGGGGTGCACATAAGAATTATTAGCTATGGTACCTGCCCTCAAGGAGCGGTATGTTTGGTGGGGGGGAGAGACAATCAATACACAAGAAACAATTGAAAAGCAATTTGGTGCTAAGCTGTGAGATACAGACTTTTAGTTCAGTGGGAGTTCAGAGAAGAAAGGGTATAGAAATGATATCTTGATGCAAACTGACTTACAGGTTTTGTATACATCAAGGGAAGAAGCAGTGATCTTTCTAGCAGGGAAAATGATCACAGGTCATCGTCAACAATAGACTGAGGAAAAGATTCATGCCTTCCTCTTCTTAGAGTAACCTCTTTGGAAGTGGGATCATTATGAAAATGAGTGAGGGTGGCTTTTAAATTGTAGATGATTTTCCAAGGCTGTAAAATAGCTCTCATCTTCATTATTTTAAATTAACTACCTGGAATGCCAAGATGTTTATCTCCCCGGAATGCAAATGACTGATTCTTTGAGTGTTCCGGTGTTAAAATACACCTTCCCTTAAATAGGTTCCCTTGTAACCCACGCTGAGCCAAATTGACTACCAATGATTTTTTCTATTCCTTACCTCGTCAGATCTTCCCTTCTGCAAACCAGCATTGTGCATCTGCTCGAGGGGGCCTGCCACCAGCCGTTTCCATGTCCACAGTGTAAGTGCTATAGAGTTCCCATTCTTTCCAGTTGGTGTCCAGGATTACATATGCTGCAATTCCATTTCCATTTGAATCTGTCCTTATCAACTGGCTGAATCCATAGAACTGCGTGTTTCTGGAATGCTGAACCAGGCTGGCAGCACTAACCTGTCCATTTTCTTTCATAGCATTATTCATGGCTTGTGCGATAAATTGAATTATAGGTGGTTCCAAACAATGGTGAAATATATTTTTAAAAATTACAATTATCTTGAGCCCTGGTCGCCCTAGAGCAATCTCAGAGTGTATTCCAAGCCTGTGTTCATTATTATGGGCTGCACGTCTGAGTAGAGGAGAGCTATGAAGACCCAGAGGAAAAAAAACAATTGTTTCTGAGGACTTGCTTGGTTTCTCCCCCAGGCCTTCACATCTTTAAATATATCAAATATGACAATTTTATGAGCAAACCAGTCATACACAATATATTTTTATGCTCCTAAACTAAGAAAGTGATTTAGAGTTATAAAGGACACTAAAAAAACAAGTATGGAATAGACAAGAGGCACGCAAAGGAGATTTACCAGGTTAATTACCAGTGCATTATGCATGATAAAATCATTTTGCTGGCACTTCTAGAATGGAAGGTGAGTGTGGTAAGGCTGTAAATAATGTGTTTCCACAGTCCATGTCTGTGTCCTGTCTTAGTCCAAAATGGCTCTTCTCCTAGACACGTGCTCCCCGGAGAAAGTGAATGCTAGAATACAGTTTGAAACACACAACCCCACACATACACATGCAAACATGTATCTGTATGATACATACATACACATACACATACACTCCCCCAAAGACAGTGCCAAGTGTTGTAATGCATGGAGAATGTGGGTTTTAATCAACAAACCCTATATCCTGCTGGTGTCCAAAGAGGCAAAGCTTTGTTGAGAAGCCACCGTAAAGCGGTAAGGCTTCTACAGTGGATAGCGTGACTCTGCCTGCCATACATTTAAAGTAAAAGCAATAGCATTTGGTGTACTATCCCTGACACACTGCTTAGTGACCTAGTAAATTTGGTTTTGGAACAAACTTGTATCTATTCCAAAAAGGTAGGGAGGAAGAGAGAACAATCCCTCCCTCAATCCCTGCCCATCCCCGCCACAGGCCATGGCTTCACGGTTTTCCATAACATTTCACCTCTAGAATTGAGTTCAAGAAAGCGATGGTCATGCCATTTTACTGACCTTCAGAGAAAGCTGATACTTGCTACTTTGGTTTCACCAGGACTAGAAAGCTATCTTCCTCCTTCATCTGAATAAGAGGGTTTAAAATTGAGTGGATCATTTTTGTGTTGGAAAGACAAGTCAAGATGCAGAGAATTATAGTAGCCCTGTTGACAGAGCAGCGTGTTGTCAATTACCCAAGGAGTATCAAAAATACCAATGCCAAACCCAATGCAGACAAACAAAATGAGATGCTTTAGGTTTGGGATCCAGTAATCAGTATTCCTAAAGCGTCCCAGGTATTCTAATACACATACGTGGGTTAAAACAATACAGAAGAAGAAGACACAGTGGCCTGTGGTCTCTTCCTAATACCAGAATGTTAGGCAAATCATTTATACCCTCTCCCTGGGCTTCAGTTTCTTCCTCTCTAAAATGTCTAGAACCACAAATGTCTACAGTTGGAGATCATTGGGTCTAGCTCTCTATCTCTTTAGACAGGAAAGGGAGGCTCAGAGTAGTTCAATGATCTGTCAAGGTCACTGACTGGGGCATAAAATCAGGACTAGAACACAGGTTATCTGTTCTTAGTTTAGCATTTTTGCTTGAAATAGGCATTACCTGAAGTCTTTTTTAGGTGCAAAGTCCTTGGTCTTCTTTCCTAGCAACACTCACTCCATTGGGGATCTCCCTTGGTCTCATGGCTTTAAATACCACATTTATGCTATAAATCTCAGATTTATACTTCCAGCCCAGACTGTTTGCTAAATTCCAGGCTCATAAGTCAACTACCTACTCTGATATCTTTACATGGACACTAGTTTTCAATGTACCCAAAATCAAGCTCCTGATTTTCACCCAAAATCTTCCTGCTTCATCTATAATGATCTTCCCCATTTTTGTTAAGAGCAGCTCCATTCTTCCAATGGTTCAGGTGAAAAACCTTGCCCCAGATAACAGAGCTAACTAAGAGCAGGGCAGAAATCAACATTTCAGTTTCCTGAGTGTTTGTCCAGGGATGTCTCTCCACTGACTCGCCTTAACACACACTATAGAAGGAGGCATGGCGAACAGGTGCCATGTGCATCCACAGTTAGTCACCTAACACACACTGAGGTCCCTAAAAGCATTTTCACTAACTTTCCCTTTTGACTTTCTCAGATGCTCCATTTAATTGTCCTCAGGATTTTTGCGAGAGCCTGCCTGTTTTCTGGGGCTTTGGTAGGTTATGACAATAAGTTAAGGCTGGAAGGTGGAGTATAAAATCAATACTAGTAAAACAAATGAGTGTAAGAAAAAAAAAAAAAAAAACCACAGGGCAGCAAGCCCCTGAAAGCAGAGAAAATGCTAGTATTCTGTTTTGAAAGGCACGGAGCCTTCTGGGAAAGAGTTGTATCTACCTACAGCCAAAAGCAAAGATTGAAACTATTAAAAAACAACTCCCTCACCTTTGAGTTGACCCATCTCACAGGATTTTCAGCTAGTCAGGCTATGCTGCCTTCTGTGTTCTTGGAGTGACCCCTATTAGAGCTGACTGACAGCAACTCTCCAAGACGACTGAAACCTGAAGCCTGTTTTTCAGGATTCTCTAGCCTCCACCACATAGCACACCTGCCCACGTACGTGTGTGTGCGTGTGCGCATGCGCTCGCACACACACACACACACACTACACACGTGCATGTGCATACGTGCACACACATACACACACAGAGCCACAAAAATAGAGGGACCTGAAGCTAAAGGAAAGGGCATAGCTGTAGCAATAGCGTTCAGTTGCAAAAGAACTGTCACAAGGGCCCACTCTCACTGTGAGGGCTTGAATTTGTGTCCCAGCTGGTTTGTGTTGCTGTTTCACCCACTGTGCCCTTCGGTGCCCTTCAGTAGTAGAAATTGTCCCTTCCTGTAAGTCAAAGGCACACTCTGTGAGCATTGGTCACAAAAGGTCTCCAGCTGCAGCTGCTGCAAATAATGAAAGAAGAGGTAGAAGATGGGGTGAGGGAAGAAAGGCCGTCTCCACACCTTCTGTCCCCGCTTCTGACTACAGCTCCAAAGAAGCACGATAGGATTGGCAGGAGTTTCTGTCAGGCAGATGACCTTGTTGACATCACACTCATGACTCAATCTATTAGTTTTGCCTGCTGCATAGACCTGAAACTGATTGAATGTATTATGAATAAATGAATGACGATTGATTGTTTGTTATTCAGCAAATTTATCTAGTTCTACCCCAGGCTTCTTGGAGTTTGGTATCCAAGAAAACAAGGTCTGGGTCAGGAGCAGTGATTTTCGAATTTGTTCAATTTAATGGTTCATGCTGTTGTTAAGTTGACCATCATCAGTTCCGATTTACTGTGCTCACAAGACACAAAACAGGCTTCCAAAGTATTTTGTCCTTAGAAACATAGATTGAAACATACCTGGGTCAGAAAGCATCATTTGAAGGGCAAAATGGCAACATAACTTTTGAACAAAAAGCCAGGCATGTACAGAGATCAAGAAACCAGATGGTAATCAAATTCCTCTTATTCAATGTGGTACCTCCAACAATGCATTATCTCAACCCTTAGACTTAGCCAAGAGATGGCTAATAACCCAATCTATTTGATATGATACTCAGGAATATACCTTTATTTTTATAGAATGATCCCCTTATTGTTTTTATCGAATGATATACAAAGATAAGTGTAGCCATTGTAAGTAGCAGGCAACCTTTCCTGACAAGTGTCTGGTGGGCCCCATCCTGGAATGCTTCAGCCCTAACCACGTCCCCTGACAGGCACACATATTTAAGCTAATAGAAACCAGTGGGTTCCAGGAGCTTCAGGGCCCCCTGGGCTTGCTGAGAAATCCAGAGGATTTCCTTTGCTTAGGCAAATAAGGCCACATTTGGAAAAATTATCCCAAATGTGTGTTCTAGCAATATGCATTTGTAGCCAGTAGCATTTTCCTGAAAACAAGCATTAGGAAGACAGCAAAAGTAAAGGATGTAGGCACTAAAACCTTACTTCAGAAGTCAAATTTTAAAGGTACAAAGTGATAATCCTTGCCCAATCATCCTGAGACTAAATTAGGAAGTTTGTCACTGGCTTCCTACCCCCCAATCCCTCCATTTTGATTCCTTGTTCTCTCTCTCTTTTTTTAAAAAGATTTTACTTACTTATTTGAGACAGAGAGAAAGAGAGCAAGCATGAGTGGGGAGAGAGGCAGAGGGAAAGGGAGGAGGAGACTCCCTGCTGAGCAGGGAGGTAGATCCTAGGATCCGGAGACCACAGTCTGAGCTAAAGGCAAACTCCCAACTGACTGAGCCACCCAGGCACCCCTGATTTACTGTTCTCCTTTCATGGGTCCTCATAAAGTCCTAGTACCTCCTAGGTTAGAGGAAAACAATCTGAAAAACCCATTCAAATCAAAGTGTTAGTCACTTAGCAATATTACATTGATAAAGCATTGGACATGGGATACAGTGTAATTTATTACGTAGTTAGATGGTCAGGTTCTGTTAGCAGATCAGTATTGGAATCCCAGCCCTGCCACTTGCCAGCAGCTGTACGACCTTGGAAAAGTTACCTTGAGCCTCAGTTTCATCATCCATGAAGTAGAGATAATAATACCTAATTTGTAGGCTAGATCTACAGATCTGATGAGAACATTTATGTTAATTACCAGGCACAGAGTAAGCACTGAATACATGAGAGCTGCTATTATCTGCACTTCAGAAGAGAAACACAGAACTCTAATAATACCATCCTGGAAGAATAGTGGTCAAGTACCTTATCCCAGTCTTGAATTTGTGACCAATAAGTAAAAATCCCAATTTTATTTTATTCTACCTTAAGATTTTTTTATTTGTAAGTAATCTCTACACCCAATATGAGGCCCAAACTCACAACCACGAGATCAAGAATTGCACACCCTACTAGCTGAGCCACCTTGGTGCCCCTAAAAGTCCCAATTTTAGACCCAGTGTTCTTAGCACCCTAAAATGGTAAAACCGTTCCCCTTCATTGGGGAAAAGACCTTATTTCTATTTTGTTCTCCATGGTATCACCTG